GACGAACCCAATAACAGCCAACCCAATATTTTCAAAGGCAAATATAAGAGTTTATCAGTTCATTAAAGTTTTCTAATAACTATAAACATTATATTTAACGGGTAGATGTGTTGTAAGTGATATCTCTATTATTATAAACATTGAAATTAGTGTCAACCAGCTTAGAAATCGAAATGTCCTTACCAAAGAAAAACATACCTCTCGACAAGAATTGAATCTGTATTAGTTTTCTCTATCATGGAAACCACTTTTTAGACAATGTGTGCCTTACCAATTGTGCTACGGGAAATGTTGGTGATAAAGCGAGGCTTAATTAGTATATCTTGTGATGAATTTTTTAATCTGATATTATATTATTATAAAAGTTAGTGAGTCTAGTCTGAGTTGACATCCTTGTTAGACTGAAACAGTGAAACTAATAAATTTTGAGAACGAAAATAAAGTCAGTGGATATAGACTTCGAAATGTCCCAACGAGAAATACGCATTCCATAAGTAATTGTGTATTACTTTATCATCATAACTTCTTGTGGCGTAATTTGTAGGACACACTTCGGCTAAATGAGTGGTTTCCCTGACGGGAAAGAAAATACCGGTTCAATTCCACGCGAGAGATATTTTTTTTAAGTTAGGATTTTTCGATTTTAATGCAGGATGATATTAACTGCACTGTTTTTCATGACAGTAATGTGAACTCAGATACGTGTAAATAAATTTTATATAAGAAATAATTTCGGATTCTTCTTTTTTATGTGCCGTGTCCCTTCAGGACGTAGGCGATCATAGTTCTCTGCAATTTTCTGTCCTTCATATCACTTAATAAATTTTGTCTTTTTTATTTCTTTTTCCGCAGTTTATTTACTCAAGCTCACTAAGTAAGTTATACGCTGTTTTCCTCTGCCCATCTTGCCTTCAATCTGTCCTATGCGTAACAAATTTTCCAAGCCCTCTTTCCTCATTATGTGTCACAGATATTTCAACATACTTTTTTTTTCATTTTCTCATTGCTCACATAATCGGTTCATGGTATCCTCAGCATTCTTCTGCATAACCCTACTTCTGTTGCTTCATGTCTTCTTTTCATCTTGGAGGAGATTATACAGCATTCACTGCCATATAGAAAGATTGTTCAGTATTGTTAACTAACGAAGTTTTTCTCTTTCTTAATACTCTGCTTATCTTTTGGAATGCATCTTTGGCTATCTCAATACGACTTCAGATTTCAGTGTCTCACTTTCCGTCATCTGTTAGAACACTTCCCATGTAGATACAATCATCTATAGTTAAATGTACACATAGTTAAGGAATACTACACTTCTTTTATATGTAATAGAACGTTGGCGATCATGGCCCGCCATAACTGCGTCCTTGCCCTTTTACCACCCACTCTTTGTCCTTGTTCTACTCTCCATTCATTTCTTGTAGTGCCATGACCATTCAGGGTGTGAGTGATCATGGCCCTTAAGACCGTCCTGTCTTTTATTCTTCTTTTGATCTTTTATCACTACTCTTTGTCTTTTTCTGCTATCCATTCACTTTTATGTGCCACTAGATCACCTGTACCCCGCTGGGTCATCAGTGTTGTGTTTACTGTTTACATTTAGTCTCATGAAGAGTTTGTGAAAGTAGAAATCTTTTAAAAATGCATTTATTTGCAGTTAGTTGAGGAAACATATATTTAAAATTTTGTCTGTTTAAAGAAAGTTAAAATATAAATAAGCACGCTCGTAATCACAGGAAGGTGGAAAGAGAGAGCGATGGAAAGAGAGAGCGGTGGAAAAAGAGAGAAGGGGAAAGAGAGAGAAGTGGAAGGAAGAGAGAGGTGTAAAAGAGTTAGATGAAAAGAGAGAGGTGGAAAGAGAGAGAAGTGGAAAGAGAGAGCGGTAGAAAGAAAGAGGTGGAAATTTATGCGCTAGACGGACGGCGGACCACGCAAGCGCGATTCACAGACTTTTAGTATTATAAACCACTTATGTCTACAATCCGGATGTTAAATTAGGTCACTATTTGAGATGAACCCATTTTGGTGTCACTGTCAATTCTTGTATACACACCATTTCCTTCTCTCCCCTTCTTCCTACACGACAATAAATTTACGTCTTTCTTTCCCCCACTCTTTATATATGACTCCGTGTGCACAGTGGCAAACACACAAGCAAGCAAGATAATAAAGTTCACAGAGTTTTAGTATTATAAAAGATGCTTTTTGAAGATGTGGATGATTATAGCCCTCCACAACTGTCCTCTACAACTTCCTGCCTTTTGTCCTTCTAAATAACTTTTGACCTTTTATCATCCCTTTTTGTCCTTGTTCTGCTTTTTCATTCAATTCTTTTATGTGTCATTTCAAGATGTGAGTGATCATGGCCCTCCACAACTTTCTGTCTTTTGTTCATCTAAGTAATTCTTGCTTTATTATCATCCTGTCTTTCTCGTTGTTCTACAATGCAATCTATTCTCTCAAACGGGTTACTCTCTGGTCCTCCTTGTTCCTCTTGCTTTCAATGTATCCTCTGGATGCTATATTTTCCAATCATTCTTTCCTCACGTGTCCCAAGAATTACAGTTGTCTCTTTTCGATTGTTGGCGGCAGTTTTATTATAGTTTCTATTTTCCGTAAAACATGTTTTATTTATTGTTTTCTCAGAATTCTTTGATAGTCCTCTTCTCTGACGCTTCATATCTGAAGAGCTTGTCCAGCATTCACTGCCATATAGGGGTTTATTTTGTCTTAAAGAAATTGACAAATAGCTTTTCTGAACGACAAATTACTCATAATTATTCAGGAATTAATCAAATATTGAATTGTTATACTATTCGAATTAGTAGTTCTATCATGTATGCATGCATGTACTCAGTGAATGTTATTAAATATGGAAATTCATATCTTTTAAATATGGATTTTTTTCATTATTATAATGTAGTTGGTATTAAAAATTCATCTTATCTACTTTTCTAACGGTTTTATTTTCTTATCAAGAATTGAAAATAAATTTGATACAGGCTTTAGTAATATATTTGTTTCTCTAGTCATTTCTTTTTAAACTATAGTACTTAATGTTCCGGTATCTCTTTTGTGTAAAGAGATTATATGACTGATTTTGTAATCTCATATTTATAACGAGTTCTGGCAATAAACCTATATTATTGAGTCAGTGGATTTTGTAAGAGATATATCGTCAGCGTTGTATTCTAGTTCAGGGCGGTCTGCTTGCTCCGTTTCTAGATATATGTGAAAGTATTTATTGCGTATATGAAGTTAAAACCTTGTTATTTTTCACGGCGATTTAAATGAAGTTTTATTTATTTATTCACTTTTTGAAATATAATTAATCTTTGCGGTTGCATTTTTGCCATTCGTATCAGTTTTATTATTTAAATGAACTATGTAGCAAGAAAATACAATTATCATTACAACTAGAACATGCATCATCATCATCAACATCATTATTATCAACCATGATTATTACTGTCATAACACCATAGTTAATTATTTACATTATTCGGACTATTGTCCTCATCCTTCTCGCCATATTTATTACAACGTTTCGACCGTTGTACGTTCCGGCCTTCTTCAGGTGGTTGGAATGTCGAACTGAACCGTTTATTTCGCACACTGGGGGAAACTGTTTTATTTCCACGTGCCATGAGTTCTGTTAAAAACATGCAATGGTAACAGCAAAACTTACAATATGAGCACTGGTAAAAAATAGTTGTTGAAGACCTTAGATTTATAATATCAAGAAATTCATACATAGATGTCCTCAAGGACACATGACACAGTAGATAAAGGCGTTGGTTAGATCCAGTGACAGGACCCAAAGAGTGTGAGTTCAATACTCGGTTAAGGCAGTGGAGAACTTTCAAAGGGAAATTAACAGGAGATAACTGATAACCGACAACCATCAAACGTGGAACTAGAACAGTCTACCCCAGTGAGCGAAATAAAGGGTTCAGTTCGACATTCCAGTCACCTGAAGAAGGCCGGAGCGTACAATGTTGTAATAAATATGGCGACAAAGATGAGGACAATAGTCCGAATAATGTAAATAATGTACATAATACCTCATCTCAGAAATATAAACAGATACCATAGTTAATGTATTTTATAAATCATCAAATAATTCTCATTATAGATATAATCATCCTAAGTATTATTAATATTAAAAAGAAGATTAGAATTAAGCTACAAATATGCTTATCTCAATACATTTTTACCAGTGGTGATATCACTTTCAACATTTCCTTAATGATTTTGATACAATATTGTGTACCTTGACTCTTGCTATCAACATTGATACTCGTATCTCTATGTATATGTCCAACCTCACCCTCCAGAAACACAAACACCAAAATGCCCACTGCTGTAACCATTGCTTATATTGTTACCATCGCAGTCTTATTCTAACTCAATGCTACTAACCTCGTCTTACCACTGTCGCACCATTAATCTCTCAGTGTTAAAGGAGTTGGGTGATTTCTACGGTATTCCATCTAAGCCGAAGCTAAGCCTCGCACGATTCATTCATTGAAAGAAAGAAAGAAAGAAAGAAAGAAAGAAAGAAAGAAAGAAAGAAAGAAAGAAAGAAAGAAAGAAAGTCATCCAAAAGTAGATGGTCAGACATGGTTGTATGCGATGTCTCCGTAGAAAGTAGTAGCCATGTGTTCCATTGAAGAATTATAAACTTGCTCCACCCAGAACGTCCCTCTGTGACGGGTTGAGATCCATCCGCTTCGACGCTCAGGGCTCTTCGTCGGATTACAACATTACGATATTAAGCTTGACGGGACGTACGTTGTGGCAGTCAGAACACAAGTAGTTTCTGACAGCATCCAGCCGTGCTTGGGAGTAGTCAGACTGAGGTGGAAAAGCTGCGCTCCGGAGCGACGATGCGTTCACCTTTCTGAGGTCAAAGACATGACCACTTTTAACTCATTCCGTACGCTGCATATTGTCAATAGACAGCCATCTTAGACGGGCGACATTTAGTTGCGATTCCAATGACGCGTTTTTCTTCTCGCTCTTCATCTCTTTCTTTTTCTCTTTCTTTTTTCTCTTTCAACTTTCTATTTCTCTTTTTTTTATTTCCTCTTTCTTACATTATTTTGGTTACATTCGTTCTCTTTTTCTTTCTTTGCTTTTGTCCTTTTCTTTTTATTACTTTATTTTACAATATTTTTGTCTTCATTATTGTAAGAATTCTTTCAGGATGTTTTCTTTTTTTTCTTTCTCTCTTTACTTAATCTTTTATCTCTAGTTTTATTCCTTCTTTGTTAACATTCATTCATTTCTTTCTAATCTATATCTATATTGCCACTTTTTCTTCACCATTTTTATTCCATTTTTCTCTTTTTTTCTACATTTTTTCTTCCTTTTTATTTCTTTTTATATTTTTCTTTTTTCTTCGTTTTTCTTTTTTATATTCTTTTTTATTTTTCTTCATTTACTTCTTTTTCTATACTTTCATACTTTCATCTTTTTCTTCATTTTTTCTTCATTTTTGTTTTCTTTTTGCACTTTTTCTAATTTTTCTTTCCTGTCTATTTCTTTCCTCTTTCTTCTTTTTCTATTCTCTTACTTTTTTACATTTTTTTGTTTGTTTCATTTTTCTTCCTTTTCCCCTTTTATCTCCTTTTCTTTCCTTTTTTCTTTTACATCCTTTCTTTCTCCTTTTTTGTATTATATTCCCTTTTCCTTCACTTTTCTTCTTTTTTGCTTTTTCTTTCTTTTTTCTCTTTTTATCTTTTGCTTTCTTCTCTTTTTTTCTTCTTTTGCCTCCTTTTTCTTCCCTTTTACCTTTTCTCCCATTTATCTGCTTTTATGCTTCCTTTTTTATAGTTCACATTCCATTTCATTTTTGCTTAGTACTTTCTTTTTCTTGTTCTTGTCTTTTTAGATTTATTATATACAGTCGGAAAAACACACACAAGACAAATAAAGATCCCCCTGTATACTTCAATATGCTTCAACCCTCATCTCTTCATATATTTCAGTATGACACATTAATCTTTGTGTACATTTGAATTCACGAATTATTATATGATTAAACGCAAACACAAATAAATACACACACGACAAAAAGGATGAAAAATTTTCGCACAAACATATTTACATATCGAATTAGAGAGCTTTAAGATTAACTCAATGGTTAAATCATCGGATTTCATTGCTAGAGATATCCGAGTTTTCATAGCAATTACCAATCTTGCGAGGTAAGATACGTAACATTTCATAAGTAGTTGACTTGGAAAATTGTTTCTTTCGTATTTCATAGAAAGTTAGCAGTATTCACGTTGTCTATCTTTCAACGAAGCAACACTTATATCCAAATGCATCAAGTTTTAGATAAAATCCTATTTCTTAACCTGAATGAGAAATTGGAGTAGTTCTTATTGAGTGAAGGCAATACTATTCTTACAAATTAGTAAAAAGAATTAAGTTAAACTCTATCTTAACGGATACTTATTATGTTTAACTTAATACGGTACAAATAAAATAGATAGAAATAGATTTAAAAAAAGACAGTATAACGCCAGTATGAGGATGACCTAAATCCTTTGTGTCAGGTTATCAATATTAAAAATTCTGCCTTTTACTTGAGCTCTCACACACTGGCATGGTATTAGTTGTGAATATACAGCCATATACGCCATCTGGCACCTCTTTGTTCACTGTGTTAAATTAACCAAGTATTAAGCTATATTATTTCAGTTTACATAACAATTACTCATAATCTTCATTAAATCTTTTTGGAATAAGGGGTCACTAGATGTTGCAACCATTTTGTTTCAACAGAGCACTGACCATTCTAAATATTGACTCATTTCAAATGTGGCATAAACACATTTTAAAATAGAAGCTCCCATTTAGTCGAATATAAGAAATAAGTCATTTGTAGATGTTACATTCGGTAAAAACTAACAACTGAGCAAATAAGTAAACTTTTAATTATTATTATTTTTACCTATATTTTCATCCTTCTTGGACTTTTTAAAATATTATTTTTATTTTCTATTTTTCTTTCTTTCCTTGACTTTTCTTATTTTCTTCTTTCTAACTTATATTTATATCGTTTTCTTTCTTTCATTTTCTTCTCGTATACTTTACATTCTATTCCTTCTATGACTTATAAGAAGACCAAACCGACTGGCAAGAGAGTCAAATCCGACTTACTATAAAACGAAGAGAACTTTCAAGAAGGCCAATCCGATTTACAAGAATCCCAAACCTGACTTACCAGAAAGCGAAGAGAATTTTCAACAAAGCCAAACCTTCTTTTAAGAAGACCAATCAGACGAACAGAACTTTCAAGAAGGCCAATCCAAATTACAGGAAACCAAACCAGACTTGTCAGAAAATGAACAGAACTTTCAAGAAGGCCAATGTAAGTTACAAGAATTCCAAATCCGACTTACCAGAAAACGAAAAGTATTTTCAACAAGTCCAAACCTACTTGCAAAAAGAACAATCAGACGAATAAAACTTTCAAGAAGGTCAATCCGGCTTACAAGAATCCCAAAACCTGACTTGCCAGAAAACGAACAGAACTTTCAAGGTCAATCCGACTTACAATGAATCCCAAACCTGACTTACGGGAAAACGAACAGAACTTTCAAGGTCAATCCGGCTTACAAGAATCCCAAAACCTGACTTGCCAGAAAACGAACAGAACTTTCAAGGTCAATCCGACTTACAATGAATCCCAAACCTGACTTACGGGAAAACGAACAGAACTTTCAAGGCCAATCCGGCTTACAAGAATCCCAAAACCTGACTTGCCAGAAAACGAAGAGAATTTTCAACAAGTTCAAACCTACTTGCAAAAAGATCAGTGAAACAAACAGAATCAATCCGACTTGCAATAAACAAAATTAATCCTTATGTCATCTCTCGTCTTTTATCCTCCTGTTAGAATATCATATCTATTAAATTATTCTTATCTATGTATGCAATTTCTCGAGCAGAGCATAATATATACAAATGTCGTATTTGTATCATATAATACGTATTGGTTTATAACACAACTATAACTTAGCAAGGAATACTTATAATACTAATAATACTCAATTGCTTATTCATTAATTTTTATTTATCGGGAGCTATTTACATTTAACATTATTTTCATTTACGATCATAATTTAATCATTTATATTCATATATATTTAATTCTGAGGTCATCAAGGAATAGTGTTTCAAATAGGGATGATTGTGTGTAACCCAGATATCACTGTATATGATACAGGGTGATTTTTGGAGGTGATTTTTAGTGCGCCTTATATGAAGGGTAATTTGAGACATAAATAAAAAAAAAATTACGCATGAGAATGACATATTCTCACTCAAATGTCTTTAGAATTTCTCTCTATTGGATAAAAGGTTATATAAACATGGGAGGCGTCATATGCTTTTACATAAACGGTCATCGAGAGAAAATCGAATAATCATTCCTACACAAAATATATTTCCATATATACGCTCACAATTATCAATCTTTTATACTATGAAATTCACAAGAATACATATATAAACGCCGAAATACACATGCAAATATTTATATGCAAGGTACAGCATTAGCGTACATACAATTAAAAAATAACAATCATTTGCACATACAAACGAATGAAGAATGGTAGATAGACATCTATCTGGTCACAGACGAATATACTCTCATATATACTTAGACATAAGTGCGCAAGCGCATTCACAGAGGCACATATGCACTTCCGTGCAAGTTGCGTTAATCCTTACATTCTTTGTTGAACTTTATATTTTCTTTTTTTATCTATTTTTATAGATTTATTTACATTTTCGCTTTTCTTTGTTCTGTTCGTCGTTTTTGTGATTCTATTTGTTTTGTTTTTTTTAATTTACCTTTGTGTGTGTGTGTGTGTGTGTGTGTGTGTGTGTGTGTGTGTGTGTGTGTGTGTGTGTGTGTGTGTGTGTATGTCTTTTGTTTTGTTTTGTTTTGTTTTTTTTTCTTCGTTATTTCTGTTTATTTTGTCCTTCCCTGCATCTTTCCAGTTCAAATGGTAACTTCCTTCGTAATCTCAGCGATTTTTTCCTCCCTATTGTGCGATTAGTTACCCAAGTCTCATCTTCCAGCCTCATCATTTGCTCGGTTAGTTTATTCTGGTTTTCTATCTACTCTCTCTTTCTCTCTCTCTCTCTCTTTCTCTTTCTCTCTCTTTTTCTCTTTCTCTCTCTCTCTCTCTCTCTCTCTCTCTCTCTCTCTGTGTTTGTTCTCCCCTTGTTTCTCTCTCTTTCTATTTTTTTCTCTCTCTCAACTTCACATAATGTTTTTGTTACTATTATTCACATAATTGTTTTTATAGGTGTTGTTCTTATTTCGGAGTTATTGCTTATCTTGATATACACTGTTGGTTAAATTACCGTGTTTATTGCGTATTCTAATATTATTGCTTTGGTCATTATTTGATGCTACATGCAATGTGACTTTAGATTTTGTTATCGTTATTGTTAAGCATTTTTTATTGATATTTACAAGTAACTCATAAAACTCATTTAAAAAAGAGTACTCGTGTTAAAAAAAATGGTACATCTTATATTTACTAAGATTAGCTTTGTTTGGTACAAGGCTATGTTTAGAGAGAATATACTCATTTTAAACTACTAGTATTATAACATTCACTAACATCATATCCTGACGATAGATAGCTAGATATATAGATTGATAGATATGAGCCGACTGAGATAGATAGATAGATAGATAGATAGATAGATAGATAGATAGATAGATAGATAGATAGATAGATAGATAGACGCTTCATAAATTGATTAAATTTTAATGTCTTAATTCAGTACTGCAAATTTTGAAAATAGTAGTATTTATCTAAATTTTGGATTAGAATATGTTTAAAGTGCTTATTTTGTGAATATTTAATATATATATATATATATATATATATATATATATATATATATATATATATACAAACTTGTTTGTTATTTAACATTTTCCCCCCTTTTTTTGCTCTTCATTTTCGTTACTGTTCTTTTTCATTAATTAATGATCCAATGATTGTCTCCTGATGAGATGTTGGTCGAAAGGGCCTTAGAGACTAATAAAATTAAAATCAATAAATTCCTATTTTTTAAAACTGTATATATATATATATATATATATATATATATAGGTTTACTTCTAGGAAGGTTGTTTCACTGTGATGTGCTAGACTATTTTTCTCTCCAGAATCTACCCTACATATTTACAATTCTACCATTTATCCTTAGTTTGAATATTGCAACCACATCTGCTCCTGCACTTAGATATTCTTGATAAAATCCAAAGAAGAATCTGCAATATTATTGGTCCTGACCTGGCATCTCGGTTTCAGTCACTTTCCCACCGCCGTAACGTAGCTTCTCTCTGCCTTTTCTATAAATATTTTAATGCTAATTGTTCAGATGAACTTTCCTCTAAGGTATCTATATTTTATGAATTTAAGCACAGTGACGGCAAGGTCTCATCATTTTATAATTGAAATGGTTAGATATAACCGTAAGTTCTATGCTAATAGTTTCTTCTCTCGCTTATGGAACTTTGTCACGGCATCTTATTTCCCAGTCAACTTTGATCTTCAAAAATTTAAATGCTGTGTCAATCGTTATTTTCTATCTTCTTAATTCATCTTCTTTTATTGTTCCCTCTGCTATTCTCTAATACTCAGTAACCTCTTGTGTCTTAGTGAGTTTATTGCCTTGCTTGGTGTGAAATGATCACAAAACATAAAATAAATCTTAATCGTTATGTCAAATTTATCTTCATAGTTCAGGTGATAGCCATGATAGCGAATTCGGATGATCAAAAACGTGAGATTTCTTTGAGCACCTTTGAAATTCCAGATATTTTATTTTCATTACTAAGGTTCAGATGGCTATTCCGTTAAAACTAAGTAAATAGACAACAATAGAAATAGCTGTAAGACAAGGATGTGTCTTCTCACCGGACTTAACTTATACGGTGAAGCGATTTTGAGAGAATTAGACGTCCTATCATTAGCTGTTACAATCTTACCAACATTAGATATGCATATGACACAGTGTTTATAATAGGCACAAAAATGAAACTACAAGAACTCGTACATAATGTAGTGAAGAAAAAAAAAGGATTAAACATCAATTGCAAGAAGACAGGATAAATGGTTGTTATTTTGAAGAAACAGTCCAACCTGCAAATTCCAAATTGAAGATACCGAATTCAAGCAAGTACAACTATTTAAATATCCGGAAAACTGTTTTAACTAAGAACGAAACGTACGACATCGAAATCAAAAGATACCTTCCAATAGCTAAGCAAAGTATCAAGAAACAGGAAAATTTGGTTAGAAGTACGCAGTAGTGGCAAACTATGATCACCTATGACTTATTGCATATAAAAGTACATTAACGGCTGTATTCCTTAACTATGTGTACATTTAACTATAGAAAATTATATCTATAAATTTTGAAATTGGTTTTCTAATCCAACCTGAGAAATGATTTTACAGAGAATGGTAATTACGTCACTGAAATCTGAAGGCGCATTGAGATAGCCAAAGATGCCTTCCAAAAGCTAAGCAGAGTATTAAGAAACAGAAAAACTTCGTTAGTAACAAAGAAATGTATACTTAACTTTTATGTAATACCGGTCCTTCTATATGACAGTGAATACTGGACAATCTCATCACAGTTAAAGAGAAGACTTGGGGCAACAGCACTGGTTATATTGTATGAAATTATGGAAAAGTTTTATATTAATATGTTCATCCGCCCACACCACAGGATAATATAAAATTTCCAGTATCTGTCTATATTTCTGAGATGAGGTATTATGAACACTATTTACATTATTCGGACTATTGTCCGAATCTTTGTTGCCATATTTATTACAACGTTTCGGCCGTTCAGTATCTGTCTATATTTCTGAGATGAGGTATTATGAACACTATTTACATTATTCGGACTATTGTCCGAATCATTGTTGCCATATTTATCACGTTTCAGCCGTTGTACGCTCTGGCCTTCTTCAGGTAGTTGGAATGTTGAACTGAACCCTTTTATTTCACTCGCTGGGTTAGACTGTTCTAGTTCCACGTGTCATGCCTGAAGGACAATTGGCACAATGGATAAAGGCGATGGTTAGATCCAGTGACAGGATCCAAAGAGTTGTGAGTTGAATACCTAGTTAAGTCAGTGGAGAACTTGGAGAGGGGAATTAACAGAAAATTACTGATTACTGACATCCATTAGACATGGCACATGGAACTAGAACTGTCTACCCCAGCGAGCGAAATAAAGGGTTCAGTTCGACATTCCAACCACCTGAAGAAGGCCGGGGCGTACAATGGTCGAAACGTTGTGATAAATATGGCAACAAAGTTGAGGACAATAGTCCGAATAATGTAAATAGTGTATAAAACTTCCATTTAATAATTTCACTCGTTGATACGTATGCTTGAAACTGGCGATCTCCTCATGAAGATCAGCATAAAATGTGGGGGTAGCTGTAAATGTCATGAGAGATATCTGGAGATCACTATAGCATCGTCACAGCCCCCCCGATGCATCAATAGTACCCGACTCTCTGTGCTACTATACGGTACCTCCCACGTCCATGGCTTCGAGTCCAGTGTCTTCAAGATTATCGACAGGGCGAATTGGTCCAATGAGGAACTCCATCGGAAAACCGACCAGCCGAGCAAACTCCATACCATCTCTCAGCACTGTGGTTGCTGGCTCACGCCTTAAGACACCCAGATGAATACCCTACCAGAGTCATCTACCTGTTCGATCAGCCATCTGCAAACTGGAGATGATCTCACAGCAGACCACGCAATCGTTGGAAGAATCTCGTTAGCCAGCAACTTCAACAGTTTAATCTGGCGTCTGTAGGATGTCCCAACCGTGTCAAGACCGTGGTAGCTAGCAGAACAAGGTGGTTCACGTGGGCTCATCGCCTTTGTGGGATGAGATTTAGCAACAATCATAGCAGCAATACCTTGGATAGTACGCGTATTATCCAGGATACTTAGTTATGTAGCTTTTCCGCTTTTGGCAAAATATCATTTTCTGGGAAAGTATGTGTTGTCAATTTTTTCAATGAATTCCTGCCATGAAATCCAAGAGTTTAGATCTATTTTTGACATCACCTGCTAATCAATTTACACATTACTACGTCTGTTTCATAATAATTGTAAACATTTACATATAAATTGCACCATATAAATATAACAAATATTATGGGATATAATATAATTATGGGATAATATATTATTATGGGATGTACTATAAATTATTAATTCCCTTGGAAGTGACGCATTATTGCCGAGAAATATTGCTTAAAGTAAGTATCGACTTTAGCAACGATGTAATTTGAATTATTGTTTTGTCCATTTGGGAGTAGACCATGTGAACTTTTTGTTGCAAGAATAACTCAAGAATAGGTAACTAGTTAAAATCGTCTAAAAGAAATATCAAATACTAATAAGGATATAAAAATATGTACCTGGTTACAAATCATTGAAAGAGACATCTATGTAGTTATAGATGTACTTTAACATCGAATGTTTGAATATCTGTTGCCGTTATAAAATCATTTATTAGCTATATTAGTTCAACTCTTTACAACAACAAAAAAACATTTTGCTGCGTCTATAGTGTTGAATCAGCATTATTCTCTACGTTTCTCATTGGTAAGAAGATTGTTCTACCCAGAAAACGTTTTCCAAAGAACCACTTCTTTGTGGAACAGACTACAAATGCATTCTCGGGCACTATAATCTTAAACTCTTCAAACTTAGGGTCAATTCTACTTATATTCATAATCTGCACATCATGTTTACTTTATACCATACACCTCATTCATTAACCAACTACCTTGAGTGGTTTTGAGGCTATGTATTGGGTAGACATTAAAATAAAAAAAATCATACGAAAATGCTAAAACAGAGAAACTCAGTAAGATTCAGCTTTTAATCTTACTATTGACTTGCTGGTAAGAGGTTTATAGTAAAGGACCTCACAAAGGTAACTGCTTCGTCATCTCAATTCTCTGTCAAATATAATGGTATGCTGATGACAATATCTTCTAATGATGAGCTAGTATCAAATATAATGTTATACTGATGACAATATCTTGTAAGGATAAGCTAGTATCAAATATAATGTTATGCTGTTTTCCATATTTTCAATTGACAGGCTTGTGGTAAATATAGTGGTATGCTAACGATAATATCTCCTACCGATAAGCTAGTATAAGATATAATGGTATGCTGATGACAATATCTTCTAATGATACGCCAGTGGCAATTATGGTGGTATGCTGATGACAATATCTTCTAATGATACGCCAGGGGCAAATATAGTGGTATGCTGATGACAATATCT